GTGGGAAATACAGGAATTTCGAGTCCTGGAGTGGGAAATTCTGGGATCTTGAGTGTTAGAGCGGGAAATACAGGGATCTCAAATGCTGGAGTAGGAAATACAGGAATTTTGAGTCCCAGAGTAGGAAGTACAGGAATTTTGAGTCCTGGAGTGGGAAATGCAGGAATTTCAAGGGCTGGAGTGGGAAATACAGGGATCTCGAGTTCTGGAGCCATGGATATCCCACTCCTGCTGTGCTCAGAGCTCTTCTGGAAACAGCTGGAACAACATCTTTTGATTTGTTAAGCTGCAGAAATAATTGCAAAAATAACAGGCAAATCCCAAAGCACCTCCCAGCATTCCTAAGCTTCCCATTTTTCAAGAGGTTTTTATTTTTTTGTGTCATTGTGACTTTTCTCCTTCTCAGCCTCAGTGGGCTCTTTTCTTTCTCTGCCTGATGCTCCGATACCATAAATCCCAGAAACATTTCCAGATCCATCCAGGGCTTTGGAGCATTAAAATCCACCCTCTGCCTTGGAAAATCCGTGAGGTGGAGATGCCTGGAAGCTGCAGGAATGCAGCAGGGAAGGATTGTCCCATGTTGCCCTGCTCAGTGCTCTCCCCTCTGGCAGCTGGCAGGGACAAGCTGGGATTTGGGGAACAGTGCTCCTGCCTGGCTGGAGGAGTGGGAAGAAAAGGGAAAACCCAAATCTGTTGGATCAGGAGAGGAAAACCCAAATATTCCTGATGAGAACATGACAGCTTTAGAGCTGGGGGTTCTGTTGTTCTCCCTCCTGCAGGAAGGAGGTTGGAGTTGACTCCTCAGGATCCTGGATAGGGTTCCCTGTTTTTTTGCCTTTGGAGAAGCAGTTTGCTCTCCCTGAACCTGATTCCTGCACAGAAAGAGTTTGGGAATTGCTGCTCCCTCCCAGGAATCCTAAAGGTTGGGAAAGTTTGAGCCCAACCCAGTCCTTCAACTCCTCTGTTTGCCTTGGGGGTTTTCCAGGATTTCCACCTGGATGACATTCCCTGGGATGGCCCAGCAGCGAGAGCAGGGACAGCTAATGATGAGGAAGAGGTGGAACATGGGAATGCTGATCCTGGGAAACACCAGGCAGATGTTCAACATCTGGAATTGCCCATGACCCCCGCGGGCTGAGCTGCGGAGCAGCTTCCTCACAGAACACAGCACCTGGAGCAGCATCCCTGGCTCTGAGCTCATTCCAAGGACCGCCTGTGGCCTCCAGCAGGTCTAAATCCAAGGAAAAGGGGCAGGGCTATCCAGTGAAAACCACGTGTGGGCTTTAGCACATTGCTGGTGCTGGGTCTAGAAGGAAAATATCCCATTCCTGTGACTTTAGGGTTCAATTTTCTCTCGATTCCAGAGTTTTCCTTGTGGGGCTGCTCCTCACCTAACTGTGGGTTTCAAACCTCAGGGCTTCCTACAGGATGGGAAACTCCCTCTCCCACTTTCCCAGCTGCCAGTGCAGATTTCCTCCTGCTTCCCATTTTTTTCCCAGGTGCTTTTCCAGCAGAGTTTGAAGTGTTGCCTCCCTGGCCTTTAGGTTAATCTCTTTAAAAGGCTTTTATTAAAAACACTTGGAGATCTTCAGCACCCACAGCTGTTTCCAAGTGGATTTAAGGCTTTGATTACTTTTTTCTTCCTGGTAAAGAAAATGAGGCAGGGTAGGGGAAGTGGGGGAACAAGGTTCCCTCTGACAGCCCTGGGTAAACACAATTTCTCCAGCAAGGCAAAAGCTGGAAACATTTCCTAAGTTGCACCAGGGAAAAGCGAGTTGCAGGGTTTGGAAAGCAGCCTGGGGAGGCCTGGAATGCCCTGAGGCTCTGATACCTTCCTGACAGCACGTAGTCAAAAACTCCACAAGATTTTAGCAGGAACTGCCAAGCTCAGGAGAAACTGCTGCAAACGGATTTCTCAGGCTCTGCTGGAGAGGTTTCAAATCCCCTCTCACATCAGACCCTCGGAGCACCTGAAATTGCATCAGATATAACAAATCTGGGTATCACAGGGGTTGTTTTTAATTCTTGAGGGCTACAAGAGCTTTCAAAACCAGAGCCCAGCCTACAAACCCAATGTGAGTAGCACTGTCGGATAAATCCTGCTTTCCAGGGGTGCTCCAGCTTGGATTTTGGAGAATTGAATTCTTGCAGCTGAGGGGGAATCAGTGATTTGCAAAACTGAGTGGTAAATGTACACAAATAAAAGACAGAAAGGGGGGAAATAAGGAAAAGCAAGGAGGAAGCCTTAAGTGTGTTGTCCAAGGTGGTGCGAGCAGGGGAGCAGAGCTGAGGAGGAGATGCCAACCCCATTCCTTCCCTGTTCCATCCCCTACCCCACTCCCTGCCCCATTTCTTGCCCCAGCAGCCTCTTTCTCTGCCTTTCCCTGGGCTCTGTTTGGTGTCTCAGCCTCTCTGAAAGCATCTGGAGAATGGATGAGCCATGGAATTTGCAGGACTGGGCAGGTCCTGCTCTGATCTCGCTGCGAGCCCTGACCAGCGGCCCGTGGCCCTTTAAAGCTCTGGGCAATTTTTCTTTTCCGAGTGGCTGACTCTGAGGATTCCTCAGTTCTGATGTAACCCCTAGCAGGCCCACGTGGGTTTGCACATATTTGACAAGGAAAGGGCTCCTGGAAGGGAATTCATCCATTTTTCAGAAGCTCTTTTGTAACCACTCGCCACAGAGGATCTTTTCCAGCCAGGACTTGTCCCTGGAGCTCTGCAGGGCTGGTCTGTGTCCTCAGGGAGCTTTTCCAGCCTGGATTTCTCCCTGGAGCTCTGCAGGGCTGCTTTTTGCCCTCAGGGATTTTTTTTTTCCAGCCTGGATTTGCCCCTGGAGCTCTGTAGGGCAGGTTTTTGCCCTCAGGGATCTTTTCCAGCCTGGATTTGCCCCTGGAGCTCTGCAGGGCTGGTCTGTGTCCTCAGGGATCTTTTCCAGCCTGGATTTCTCCCTGGAGCTCTGCAGGGCTGCTTTTTGCCCTTAGGGACCTTTTCCAGCCAGGATTAGCTCCCACAGTTCTGCAGGGCTGCTTTTTGCCCTCAGGGAACTCTTCCAGCCAGGATTTGTCCCTGAGGCTCTGCAGGGCTGGTTTTTGCCCTCACAGGGATTTTCCAGCCAGGATTTGCCCCCGGAGCTCTGCAGGGCTGGTCTGGGTCTACATGTGCCCTCATGTAGGTCCCAGATGTGAAATCCATTCAGCTTCCATGACTCACTTGCTGTCCCAGGTTGCAGAGGAGGAGTCAGAGAAACGCTGCTGTCAGCACGTTGGAATCCCAGATTCCACATGAAATCATGGCTTTGGATGAGAACCCCAA